TACACAGCCAAACTTTCTGTGTGTTCCTCTGGAGAAGCTCAGACCTTCATGTCTCAGTAACTGAAGGTCAGAACAGTCTGATCTAAGCTTTTGTTTTGGAGAAGTATGGCTGGGGTGGAGAGAGGGAGGATTTGAGTCAGATCTGGGGTGGCACTTATTTCCTGCATGTAACCTTGGTCATGTTTAGTCTCTGTGGGTCTTCATTTCATCATCTGCAAAAGAGTGATTAACTTGGAGATCTGCTTCCCAGATCTTCCTTCCAAGAAGGATTTGCTGACCACTGGGGGATGTGTGGTCAGCAGCCAGCCTCCAGTCCTCAGCTCCATGAGGGGCTGCCTCATCTGCAGCAAACTACCTCATGTGAGATTACACCCTTCTCTGGGCAGCGCATATCCAGCTACTGAGTAAGGGGGTGGTGTAAAGGTCCAGCTGTATCTTCCTGCTACAGGACACTCTGATGGGCTGAATCCATTCCAGAGCCCACCATCGAGGCCCTCATCCCTATTCCACTTCTCCTTCCCACTCCAGCTTCCTCCCTTTTCCCTTCATGGGTATTGATGCTTAATAAACATCTTACACCCCAAACACCATCTCAGCATCTCCTTACAGAGAACCGAACCTGTGGCAAATAAGGATGATGATTTTTACTTCAAAAGGTTACTGTGTGAAAGCTAAATGGGATGTTCACGTAATATCCAGCATTGTGCCCGGAACATGAACAAATCATGATAAATGCCTGTTCCTTTTTCTTTTCTTCCCCTAAAAACTATAACTCAAAATCCCATTCTGGGCCTTGAGCAGGTGTTCCTAACCTGTGTTCTGTAATATTGGTTTGGAAAAAGCCCAGCGAGGCAAGTGGCCCTGAAAATCTGTGCTACAGCTAAATCTGAGATCCTGGCTCACAGCTTCAGAGCCGTTTTTGTCCCTGTGAAGTTCATTATCCATGGATCACGTCAGCCCTCTTCAAGGTTCCTCACTGAAAAGAAATTGAGCATGCAAATACCCTTTTATCATAATCACCACGTATCCACAGGGTAATTCATAAAAGAGCAGGAAATATATTGAAATTCAATATTGTTTTAGTCCAAATCAATATTAATAATTGTTTGCATTTTTAAAGTGCAATTTGCAATTGAAAAGTGCACAAAGATCAACCAGTAGTTGCTAACACATCAAATTTTCCTATTAAAGGCATAGTCCCTTAACTTTAAAACATTTCTTATACAACAGGGGCTGGAGCTGATCCGTGGAAATGGCTGTCTATTTACATGCACAACATTAGAATGTGCTTCCATTCTGCATGAGTGAAAGCCCAGTCACTTTTATTTTTAAGTTTTTGATTTCTTTAATTAAATTTTAAATTTAGAGATAATTATATATGCATATATGGTTGTAAGAACTAATGCAGAGAAATCCCATATAGCCTTTACACTCCTTCCCCAATTGTAATGTCTTGCAAAACTGTAGAACAGTGTTACAACCAGGATATTGACATTGATACAGTCAAGATAGAGAACATTTCTTTCCCCACAAGGATCCCCATGTTGCTTTGTTCAGATCTTTAAAAATTAAAGATTTTTGCATGAAAAAGAACCCTGTTAGATTTCTGCCTTGAAACGGTAGCTGTCACTAAATGAGGCACCATCCCAGCTGGGCTCAGTGGAGTTCACATAGAGGAATGGTCCCCTAGGTAAGGAGTAGCCCAGGTGGAATGCACCTCAGCCTGGCAGGCCTCATGGGAGCACAGCTTTGCACATCAGAAAGAACCTGAGAACACAGTTTTCAGTTTGATACTTGCAGTGTGGCCTTTGATCCCTCAAACAAGGACAGGGTTGTCAAGAAGGGAAACAGCTTGACTGGGCTCATGTAGGCCACAGGGGCCCAGTTATCCCTGGAACAGCCCTTCTCAGAATGTAGAACTCTGGGACACAGCCCTGGCAGCCTCCCTGATGCCATGCCATGGGAGTGACCCAGATCCCTAGTGAGAGGGACAGGCAGCAGGTGTGGGTGAGGGGCATCCTTGACTGAAGCCCACCTGGTGTGCTTGAAAGCGACCCAGTGCAAATTAAATTCACAAGGTGCCTCCCTGTTCCAAGGCATTTATCTTGCAACGGAGGTGCAAGAAACTTGGGAACTCATCTACAGCAGATATTTTGGATGAGGACTGATTCCGAGCTAGGGAAACTCAGGTCCTGAAGATCAGACTTGAGTAGAGGGGAAGTCAGGCCAGAGAAACTGGGTGCCCTGCTCTAAGCCTAATGGCCGTCGCATGACATCCAGATGCCTTGTTCAAGATGCTTCCACTGAGTTTGGCTTTTTTAAGATGGAGTTTAGCTCTTGTCACCCAGGCTAGAGTATAATGGTGCAATCCTGGCTCACTGCAAACTCCATCTCCCAGTTCAAGTGATTCTCTTGCCTCAGCCTCCCGAGTAGCTGGGATTACAGGTGGCTGCAGTTAACTTTTGTATTTTTAGTAGAGATGGGGTTTCACCATGTTAGCCAGGCTGGTCTCGAACTCCTGACCTCATGATCCACCTACCTCGACCTCTCAAAGTGCTGGGATTACAGGCATGAGCCACTGCACACAGCCTTCTAATCATTTTTAAGTGTACAGTCCAGTGGCATTAAATACATTCACATTGTTGCGCAGCCATCACCACTATCCAGCTCCAGAACCTTTCATCATCCCAGACACTACCCATTAAACAGCAACTCCCTGGTCCTCCTTCCAGTCCCTGGTAACTTCCATTCTACTTTCCGTCTCTGTGAATTGAACTACTCCTGGTACTCCACACAAGTGGAATTACACAGTATTTGTCCTTTTGTGTCTGGCTTGTTTCACTTAACACGATGTCTTCATGCGTCACCGATGTCGTAGCATGTGTTTCAGTCATTGACCAACACAGGCAAGCTGTAATTTTTTAGGGGATTTCCTCACATCACACTATATTTTAAAGGTTTGGGGATACATTAGTCCATTTTGTGTGGCTATAAAGAAATATCCAGCCGGGTGCAGTGGCTCAAGCCTGTAATCCCAGCACTTTGGGAGGCCGAGGCGGGTCGATCACAAGGTCAAAAGATCGATACCATCCTGGTCAACATGGTGAAACCCTGTCTCTACTAAAAATATAAAAATTTAGCTGGGCATGATGGTGTGTGCCTGTAATCCCAGCTACTCAGGAGGCTGAGGCAGGAGAATTGCCTGAACCCAGGAGGTAGAGGTTGTGGTGAGCCGAGATTGCACCATTGCACTCCAGCCTGGGTAACGAGTAAAACTCTGTTTCAAAAAAAAAAAAAAGAAAAAGAAAAGAAAAGAAATATCCGAGGTTGAGGAATTTATGAGGAAAAGAGATTTAATTCACTCATGGTTCTGCAGGCTGTACAGGAAGCATGGTGTTCGGTGTCTGCTTGGCTTCTTGGGAGGGATTCAGGAAGCTCACAGTCATGGTAGAAGGCAAAGTGAGAGGAGGCAGGTCACATGGCAAGAGAAACAGCAAGAGACAGATGAGGGAGAGAGTCCTGGACTCTTGTAAATGGTCAGATTTCACGTGAACTAACTGAATGAGAACAGACTCATCACCCAAAGGGACGGCATCATGCTGTTCATGAGGGATCCACTTCCACGATTCAGTCCCCTCCCACCAGCCCCACCTCCAACACATTTGGATATGTGTCCCCTCCAAATCTCATGGTGAAATGTGATTCCCAGTCACATTTCACCATGAGATTTGGAGGGGACACATATCCAAACCATGTCAGGGGACAATCAGTCAACTTTGTGACATTTCAATGGCTTGTGTCTTTTGTGTAAAAACTGCACCTGTTAATATACATGTATATGTAGAGATAGAATCAACATTTATCTTGAAAAATGTATTTGTCTTCAAGCTCTGTGATCTGAAATCTGTCGTACTGACACCAAGAGGCAAAATCGAGGTTCTGGTGGCGATCGTGCCTCTGGTATTTCAACCTTTACTGCTTCATTGGGCTCCCTGGGGACCTTTTCTTCCTTGTCTCTTGTCATAGGACTGGGTCACTCTTTGGACCTGATTCCAACCCAGCCCTGATGAAAACAAACCCTTAGCTCCCTGAAACATAAATGACCTTTTTAAAATTCCAGGTTCATGGAGTGCCTCTCTCCAGATGGCCCCAAACACTTCCATCTATTAACTCGTGCTCATTCAACATGCAGCAGAGGCTATTAATCACATTCCCTGTGCCGGGGACGGTGCTAGGTGCTGCGAATACAAAGACAGGGAGAGGTCTCGATGCGATTCCTGATTCCTGAGCTGCCGAGTCAGAGGCAGGCAGCAAACATTCTTCCCACAGTGAGTGAAGGGCTGTCACCTTGATGGTCCTCTCGGGGGACCAAGGTTCATACATTCAGGGCACTGAGTCAGCATTCTGGACTCTGCCAGGATGAGGAGGAGGAGGAGGGGACTCAGTTTCTTTCCATGCAGAATGACTGTCCCCTGCTCTGCCCCACTGGCGTAAAATGTCCTTAACATGTAAGAAGCCCTGGACAGAGATAGTGTCCATGATGTGGTCAGTTGATGTCCATGGTGCGGTCACTTGACGTGGCCTGTCATGTCACTCTTTTACCATGCTCTGAGACTCCCCTTGCTGCTGCTGTGTGTTTGCAGGCGCCCTTCAGCCTCCACCTGGCAATGTGTCTGCGATGGTGGGAGGCTGGGCTGTGGTGCTCCTAGTAGGCTTATGGGGGCAAGCTTTAGGACCATGTGAGCCTGATTCACATGGTAACCTCCACCCCAGAATACCCTTTCTCTCCACTGCAGAGCATGGGGATAGGGGGAGTAGAGAGAACCCTCCCTTGTAACAGGGGAGCAGACAGTAGGGGAATTGAATTGCCCCCGCCCCCAGAGTAGTATGGCACCATGCGGGGGCCTGGGGATTTCAGGACCCAGGCCAGCACTCCCCGGCAGCAGGGCAGGAGCCAGTCTGAGTCTGCAGCCCCGTCTTGGAGTCTGAGCACTCGCACCCATCCGTCATCCTTGCAGAGCATTGCAACTTTATGCCTACGCATAAAAACTGGAGGGACTCGTCCCAGAGTTTGCTGCTGCTGCCGCCGCTGCCATTAGAGCCGTTTTAATTAGCTGCAGGATTTTTAATGAGCTGAAATCAAGAAGAGCCCCATCTCAGAAGTAAGCGAGAGCCGCACACAGGGAACTAGTCTGACAAAACAGAAGGAGGTAGTGCTCTCGGGGGACCAGGCTATGGGCTCGCACCGACCGATGGATTGGCGAGGAGCAGATGAGTTCCTGAGGCCAGGAGGCTGAGGAGGGAAGCTGGGGCCAGTGCAGAGTCCCTGCTGCTGCCACCGTGGCAGAAGGCACGGTGCCGGATTCAAGGTGACGGCAGTGCCTGGCTCCATTCTCCTCAAGTTGCCATAGCAGCCTCTCTCCCAACAAGCAGCTTCTCTGGGAGCCCTCAGCCGGGAGGGACGTCATTGTTCTCTCCTGCCCATGTGGTGCAAGGAGACCCACCGGACAGAGAACTTTCCCGAGCCCGGGGTCCGCTGACCACGTGGGTGCACCTATGCTGCCTGGAGCCAGGCACAGGGACCGGTCCCCACGGCCACAGGGGGTCCTCTGGGCAGCTGGGGGGAGCGTCCAGGCCTGGAAGCAGCCGCAGCCAAGCGTGTCCTTGGAGCCGTCCGTGCGTCTGTCCGCCTGCTGCCGGTCGCCACTGGAGGTGCGTGTGTTTTGGCTGAATTCCCAAGTCCTTGCTTGTGCCCTGAAGTGAATTTCTCCAAAGAGACACATTTTTAAATCAAATAAATAAGGAAATGGGAGGAATCCTTGGCCCTGCCCTGTGTCCCAGGAGGTGTTTATAAGATTAATTGGATCCTCCCCCCCTCCCACTTAAAGTAAAAATTGGTGACGCTATTCAGGCTTCGGGGAGTGAAGCCACCAGGAGGACTGGGAATTGTGAGGCTGGGAAGGAGCCTCTAGGAACTCACAGGGGCTGTTTATTTTTCTTGCCTGAACCCTCCCTCTTCTCTGACCCTGGCAGGCTGGATTTTCTTATTGTCTGTTGGTCTTGGGATAGGTGTAGGGAGGAGAAGGCAGGTTTTGCCCTTGTCATTGGAGCTGAGGGTGATGTAGTTTGTGGTGAGGATGGGACAGTCCCAGGTGGGAGCTGAGGCCTGTGACTGTATTTATGCCCCACCCCCAGCCCTCTAGGCCCCAGCCTGTGACAGATGGTGCTGTCCACTCCCCAGGCAGCAGCTGGACTCCCAGGAGAGGGAGACAATAGCTTTTAGACCAGCAGTTCCTGTTGCCTTGAAAATAACATGTGACTTTGAAGCCTGGGGCTCTCTGAGGAACAATAGAGGATTCTACACCCCCTGTAAAGCCCAGGGGTCCGTTGGCGACCACCCTTCTTTCCCACACCTTTGGGGAAAGGAGGGTTCTATAGAGTCTAGTTGTCATCCTTGTGGGGCATTGAAGACCCAGCCATATTGCTGGCTAGTTACCTAGGAGGGGAGGCACGCTGACCTTTTGATTTCTGTTTGCATGGAGTTAGCTGGTCAGATGGTCCCCAGTGAGAACAAACACAGAGCGGAGGGTCCCAGAGGGAAAATCTGGGGTCTGGGGCTTAGAGGCTGGACTCTGAAGCCACAGGCTCCAATGCCAGCTTCCCTGGGTGTAGAGAGGGTGTTTGTGTTCTCTTGGGGTCCAGCAAAGGGGAGAGTCTTTGAAAGGGGAGACGCAAACAGATGAAGCTCCACCATGGAAGTGTGGTCCTGGGTCTGCGTCCCCTTCCCCTTCCTGGATTTGGGACCAGGGATGTGGTCCTTGCCCCGGCTCCCAGACACATGGGTGGCTGGAGCCAGGCTCCGTGGAGTGGGTTTGGTTTGGGCAGGTTCAGAAACAAGTGAGGACAGGTCGTGGCTGCAGGATCCATTTCGTCTTTGACAATGGATGTCTGCACTGGCTCGAATGGAGACAGACTGGGGAGAAGAGGGGACCGCCCAGCTCTCCTGTAACCATTCAGCAGCGCCAGCTACTGAACAAATGCGATGATGATCACACATGCTCCCGAGTCCCCTTTGTTCATCAGATAGAGCCTGATATTGAGGGACCCTTTATTAGCTCTTTTACCCGGCAGCCCTGGGCACAAGCCACGAACTTGTTCTCCTTCTTCTCTCCCTTCTTGCAAAATGTCTTGATGTTGGAGGCCACCCTAGGTCAAACTGGCTTCCTGGTGTCTGACTCAGGGGGCTGCAGGAAGTGCGCCCACACCGTGGCCAGCTTACCCAGGGGTTCGTGATGGTTGCCTTCCAGCTGGGGCCTTGCTGGGGACCTTCAATGGGGTGTGTGTGTGTGCGCGCATGTGCGCACACAGGCACTCACCAGCATGCACCTGGGCATGTGTTCATATGCATGTTAGCGAACCTGCGCCTGCTTAGGTCTGTGGGCGTGGTGCATGTATGAACGCAATCCCCATGACCATGAAGTAGCCGCTGTTCCCAAGAAACCTTGAACATTCTTCCTGGTCTCCCTCTGAGAGCCTTGGCTCCCCTGTATCAGTGTGTGACATCTTTTCCATTCTTCTAACTCCTTTCTATAACTGCCTAGGGCACCCCTGAGTTAGGCTGGAGAGAACAGCTCTGCCTCCCTCATCAGCCACTCACTCTCTCCTGAGGTTTTGGGGCTGGCCCCTGTGGGCCTGGGACTCTGCAGTGCAGCATTGTCCTCATGGAGGGAGGGGCTTGGGGGACAGTAGGGCATCAGGGACAGTAGGGCATCATAGCCTGCTTTGGGGCTTGCACTGCTACATCTGTGTCTTTGCAAGGCAGTGAATTCCAGGACCCCATGACGGCCTCACCAGGACAGCTGTGGAAAGAAAGGTCCCAGCCCCACGAAAGGGGCTTTGAGTCTGAGCCCTTGGAGACATGTGACTGTCCATTTCTACTCTCTGCAAGAAGGGCAGGGGTGGCCTTGGTGGATGACAGGAAGCAGCAGTTTGTCTTTGGGGCAGAGGCCATGACAGTGAGGTCGGAGCCAGGTTGACACCCTGGAGCCAGCTCCAGAAACAAAATGGGCCCAGCTCAGTGCTTCCGTAAAAAGCTGGAAGGCTGCGGGAACCACCTGCTTGACACAGTGCAGAGAGCCCAGTGTCAGGTGCCTTCCTGGTGTGGAGAGGCCTGGGGCGGGTTAATTAAAGTTAACTGAGTGAAAAAATAATTACAGAGACTGCAGAGGGGAGAAACCCAAATCTGCAGTTTACCCTCTTGAGCCCTTGAGCCTTTCAGAAAAACAGTCTGGTCGTGGGGAGTTGTTTTCTGGGCAGGGGAGCAGGGAGAGAGCTCTGCTCATTCCTTATGCTCCATGGGCTGGGTGTGGGGCTTCGTCCCCCAGCACTTGGGTCCAGGTTGGAGAGGAGTCGCCTGGCCGGAGTATTGTTCCTCGGCAGGGGAACGTCCCTGCCCCAAGCAGCACATCTAACCTGGGGCTTGACCAGCCACCCAGCTGTGGCCTCAGAGGCTTCCTGTGCCAGGGTGGGGAAGTTCCCCCAGGGCTCCTCGGGTGGAAAGAGGGTGATACCTCAGGCCTGGCCAGGAGGGTCCACTGGAAAGTAAGGTGATGGGGTGACCTTCAAAGCAGGGGGTCCCTGGAGTGCCTGCTGCCTGTGCCTCCCTCACCCTGCACTCTGCCCATGCCCTCCCTACCCCCACTAGGGGAACTGACATTCTTCCTTTGGCCAAATGGCCTTGGGGTGCCCACATCTCAAGGCACAGCCTGGCCCTGTTGGCGTGACTTGCTGGTATGTGGGGGATGGGGAATTTCTCTCCCTGTCTTCTAATAGGAAGTAGGGTAAGAGGCAAGTCACGTGGATAATACTGTGTGTCTGCAGTGGCCAGAGTAGCTAGTGCCCACCCCCAGGAACACGAGGGGATGTTAGCACCCAGCCTCTGTGCCTCTGAGCTTGGAGTCTGTTGGACACAGGTCTGGCTTCCCCACCTCAACTCCAGGCCAAAGGCCTTGAGTGCAGGGACCTGTGTGGTCTGGCCAGAGCCTCAGCTACTGCTGGTGTGACTGTCCAGAGGGACCGCCATCCACCAGCCCCATCTGTCAGTCCATCAGTAAGGACGGCCCTGACTGGCATGGGGGGTCCATCTATGCCTGAATGTCCTTTGAGCCTAGCAGGCTCCTTCTCAGAGCCACCTACTCTATGGAGATCTTGTCCCTAGCACCCTATAGAGAGGAGCAGGGCGGAGGCACATCCAAGAGCTTCTCTGCCCACTGGGCTGGGGGCCGGAGATAAAGACTCAGGTTCCTGCCTGTCTCTAGGCCCCAACCCTGGGAGCATGCATGCTTATTTGGAGGCCTGAACAGTGTAGGGGGTGACTGCTGGTTACTGACCGGGGGTCTGGGGATTCCCACCTGGGCTCCGCCAGGCAGGGCCAGAAGGTGTCTCATTCCATTATTTTTCTGGAGGTGCAGATATGGGAGACCCTGGTGGGAAGCTAGCATTCCAGCCAGAGGTGGCAACGGGCTTCCCTGAGACTCCCGGGCTGAAAGGGTGGAAGGGATACCCCTGGGTAACTTGCAGAGGGTAGAGGCATCCGGGAGTTGCACTTGAGTTGCTGCAGTGAGCGGGGCCTCCACCTGCCCGGGTGCCTCAAGCCTTGGTGATGACTGCCTCCCCTCTGCCCCATAGACCTTGGCCTGATGGATGCCTGGTGTGTACGATGAGGGAAGAACGTGCCTCCCACACCCGAGAGGTGACCCCGGAGCAAGCCCCGGATGACCCAGCGACCTAGAACGATGCGGTTAGCCTGCATGTTCTCATCTGTCCTGCTGTTCGGAGCTGCAGGCCTCCTCCTCTTCATCAGCCTGCAGGACCCCACGGAGCTCACATCACAGCAGGCACCAGGTGAGTCCTTGCTCTGGGTCCTGCCATCATTGCCCCCACCTTTCCAGCCGGAATCTCAGGCCTCCACAGCTGCTCTGGTGTGCTGGCTCTAGGGGAAAAGGGCAAGTCTGTGCCAAGACCCCCGGCAGGCAGAGTAGGGGTCCTGGCTTCCCGGGGCAGGCATCAGTCTCAATGTGGGAGTGCTGTGTCTGATGCAAGACCTCCAGCCAGCGCCTAGCAGCAGGGTGGCCTCTCTTGGAGGTCACGGCAGGGCTGCTGTCTATTCAGCCATTTGTCGCCTTTGATGAAACTCAGATTTAAAAGGATTCTGCCACCTCTTGGGCCTTTTCCATATTGTGGGGGACATCAGAAAGTGGACAACTTCTCCCTGAGCCCATGCCCCACAAGTGAGACTCAGTTTCTCTGCCTAGCCTATCCCTTCTGGTCTGGATAAAGGGGGTCAGGGTACCTCTGGCTTTGTGAGGCCAAGACCCCCTCCAAGTGTCCCCAACTTCTACTTCCATTCCACCCCTGCCTAGTGCCCAGTGGTCATAGAGGGCTGCTGGGGACAGTTGGGATGGCAGGGAGGCCAGAGCAGGAAGGGTGATTCTGACATCTCAAGGCAGACCGGGATATGGAGAGGGGAGTTGAGGCAAGGTCTCTGCTGCTGGGACACCGTCCCCATCCCCAGAGATACAGCAGGGCAGGACATCAGCTGGCAGGGGGCCAAGGCCTGGAAGCTCTCAGCTTTGGAGTCACAGGAGGGCAGGGTCTCAGCAGTGGTCCCCATTAGGGGCGGTTCCATGAAGCCACCATGCTCTAGGGTATGGACAGGCTGGTGCAGTCCCAGAGACACCACTCCTCCCCAGGGACACCCACTCACTGTCTCTTGCTTGTTCAGTGCTGTGAGCCAGAAACAGGATGAAAGAGAAGGGGGCCAGAGATACAGGCAGAGGGCTTCCTGCACAACCCCCTGCCAGAAGCCCAGAGCACAGGAAGGGGTCTCAACTCTGCAACCCCTCTGCCCCCATTGTGGACGAGCAGCCATGATGTGTGGCCCTTAGTGCATATTGAGGGCCCATGGGCATCAGGAAGAAAGATCAAAAGAACACAAGGTGGCCAGAGCTGGGGCCCTGGGTCTGAACTGCCAGAAGCCCCCCCCCATGGGCAGGTGGATGAGTTGAGAGTCAGAGGGAGGCAGCCAAGGCGGTGGCCTCCAGGAGACAGTGGGTGAGTCATCGGTGCTGACTCACGCCTGGGCCGGACCCCCACAGGTGGTGGCTGTTGGAAGTGGGTCTGGCTGTTCCCAGGCTTCTGGAGCAGCAGGTGCACAGAAGCTCCTGTGGGAGGTTTGCAGCCTCACACAAGCCCCAGAACAGCTTCACGACACTGTGTTGGCAGAACATGACCCCTTGGGACAGCGCCGTCAGGGTAGACTGTGAGCTGGTACCTGTTTTCTGCACAGAAGCAAACTCAGGAAGAAAGGCAAGCAAAAGTTGCTTGGGTGTGTCCCTGGTGTGTGTGTGTGGCTGGGGTTGCATGTGGGCAGAGGGTCCAGGCGGCCAGTGCACCCGTTCTGCAGGAGGAGCCTGGGAGAGGAGGAATGAGTGTGCCTGTGGTGCCCACCTGGGACCAGGGCCTAGACCCATATGTGGGACACTCCTGGATGGGACTGTAGTTTGGTGGCTACAGCTAGTGCCCTACCCTGCTGCAGCCAGAGTTCTTGCTGTGCAGGTCTTGTTGCACTGCCCAGCTGCCTGAGTGCACACACATATGGATTACAGGTGGGCTGGGGACCCACGGGATCGCTGGGATTTCTGGGAAGCTCGAAGCCTCAGGCTGGTGGGGGATGTCAGATGGCATGGAGACAAGCACGTCATCCCTCTGCAGCCAGCAAACCTGGGCAAGGAGCACACGTGGGTCTTCTGATGGTCCATGCAGCTGGACCACTCTCACCACGTGCCAGGTGATAGGCAAAATTGACGGTCTGGGTAAATCACACCAAACACAGTCATAAAACTTTAAGTAATGCTTACGTTACTTTCCCTGAGCAAAGTGTCTCTGACACAGGCTGTTTGTGTTGATTTGTTACTATTCATTTATTCCTTCCCTGTATTTCTCACGGCAGCCTAATTGTGATTCGGTACCAAGAAAGCAATATCAAAGTAATTTTCCACAACATTAGTTACAATTTTCTTCTGATCTTTCAAGTGAAACAATCCCATCCTGTTGGCTTCTCCGAGCACATAAACCTTGATTACATTTATCTGTTGGAAACCAGTGCTTACAAAGTGTATGTGTCCAGTTGCATGGCTGGGTGGCCCCAAGGGCCCCTGACAAGCCTTCTGCCTACGGATTTCTGTTGGTGGGAGGTACAGACTCTGGGAACTGCCCTGCCATCCCAGTCAGGCAAACAGGCAGGTGTTGGGGCGGCGGGTATGGAGTGCAGATGGGTGGATCTATGGAGGAAATTCTATACCGTGGCATGAACTGTTTGGTGACGGAGATCTCTAGAAGTTGCAGTTTGTGGCACTGTAAGTGTGGAAGGGGGACAGGGAGTTGGCAGGAGTTCTGAGTGGCTTGAGGCCCCTTGGGGTCTGGCCTCACTCATGTCTCTCCCATGCAGCCACCAGGGGTTAACGGCACCTGAACTTCCCATGGATCAGCCAGCCTGGCTCGGCTGGCTCAGGCAGGAGATGGAATTGCAGGGGGTTGCCAAACTTTTGTAAATCAAACCACATTTTAAACACTTTTTGCTATCATCCAAATCAAATCTTTGGAAACAGAAATAGCTACCCAGTAAGCTACCCACACTTGAAGATGAGGTTTTGTGTATCAGAGAATTCACCTCTCCAGTCAGTTATTTTCCAGTCTCCAGCACTGCCAAGCCCTGAGGCCAGAGCTTCTGCTTTTGGGAAGTTTACTTTTTGATCCAGTAGACAAGATTCACCTCTCCTCCAAGAAAAAGACATGGAGACCAGGTCAGAACCAGGAATAACAAATACCAACAGTCAGGTGTGGTGGTGCATGCCTGTAATCTCAGCACTTTGGGAGGCCTGGGGGGGAGAACCACTTGAGCTTCGGAGTTCTAGACCAGCCTGGGCAACATACTGAGACCCTGTCATTACAAAAATAATAATAATAAAATTAGTTGGGTGCAGCAGTACACACCTGTAGTCCCAGCTACTCAGGAGGCTGAGGCGGGAGGACCCTTTGAGTCTAGGCAGTCGAGGCTGCAATGAGCTGCGATTGTGCCACTGCATTCCAGCCTGGGTGTCAGGGCCAGACTGTCTCCAACAACAAAAAACTCCCAATGTACTAGCCCCGGGGGCTGCAGAAGGCTGACTCCACATTTGGTTGAGCAAATGGAATTCTATGAGCTGCTTTTTTAATGAATGTTTTATTAAAGAGAGTTTGGAACACACACAGTAGTGGAGTAGGATAGTGCCATGAACACCATGTTCCCGGCACCCAGCACCCCCCACCCCCACCAAGCTGGCCTCATGCACAGCACCATCCACTTCCCTCCCTCCATGTGATCTTTGAAGCCTATACTAGATATCCTATCAATTCAGCCATAAATATTTCAATATATTTCTCAGTTTAAAGAAAAGAACCATTTTGTTGACATTGCCACTAAACCCATTCCTTAGTAACATCAAATTTAACAATTTCTCAGTAACATCTGTTAGCCAGTCAATGCGCAAATGTCCAGCTGTCTCACAAATATAAATACCTTGATTTCCAATTGTTCCATCCAATATCCAGAAAAGGCCCATATATTGTAGTGGGTGCATAAGTCTTTTAAGTCTCCTTTCATCTGTAAGTTTCCTTCTCCACCTGTATTTTTCTCCTGATATTTATTTGAGGAAACCAGGTCATTGCTCCTATCGAACTTTCTGTAAGTTGGGATTTGGCTGATTGGGCCTGTCCAATACGGATGAACATTGTTCTCTGTTCTTTGTCATCCCAATAAATTAGGTGAATCTTGACGCTTTGTCAGATACAGGTTTGGATTGGTTTTTGTTTTGTTCTGGGGGAGTTACAGGGGCAGGAATTCGAGGGTGGTTCTGTATTCTTCCATCAGGAGGTCCCTGTTTGCCTGGCTGTCTTGTGTTATCAGCTGCCAGTGGTGGAGCCTAGATCCAGCCATTCATTAGAGGTTACGCAGCAGCAATGTTCTGATTTTATCATTCTTTTAAGTGGAATGGATTTTGTTTTAATGGGGCAAGGTGACTCATTGTCAGTGACCCATGAAGCCAAAGTGAATGGTGTGGATTGATTGGTTTATTCATAGGTAAGCATATAAAACTACAATGTTACCATACAGATTCTGTTGTGGTTTATTCATAGATCAGTATATAAAACTACAATGTTACCATACAGATTCTGTTGTGGTTTATTCATAGATCAGTATATAAAACTACAATGTTACCATACAGATTCTGTTGCTCCCACACTATAAATAGTTCTTTCTTTCAATGTTTGGCTTTTGCAGAGTGAGTTTTCTTTAAAGTGGGGCCACCCCATATCTCAGAGCCCTTTGCCTTTTTCTGGAGTCAAGGAGTTGTAGGTGGTTGTTCTGGGGTGCCCAGAGGGAAGGCAGCTGTGGTGGACTGCAAAAATCCCCCTCAGGGACCTCTGGCACAGACCATGGGACTGGACGGCCCCCATGATGCCTAGGTCTATGGCCTGTCTCCGGGCACTCCTGCAGGGCACAGGGACATTTAAGGATGAAGATAATGAACATTGACTGAACATTTACTTTGGGCCAGCTTTTATACTGAGCACTTTACCTTTTTTTTGAGACACAGTCTCGCTCTGACGCCAGGCTGGAGTGCAGTGGCATGATCTTGGCTCCTACAACCTCTGCCTCCCAGGTTCAAGCAATTCTCATGTCTCAGCCTCCTGAGTAGCTGGGATTACAGCTGTCTGCCACCACACCCAGCTAATTTTTGTATTTTTAGTCAAGACGGGGTTTCACCATGTTGGGCAGGTTGGTCTCCAACTCCTGAGCTCAG